AGAGTTTCGGCAGCCCAACACTGAATATTATATTGTGGCCGTTGTATTTTGACTCATAAAATAAAAATTATAAAAATTAAAATACAAAAATGAAATTGAAATTACCCTGCTTCTAAATAAATAAAGCAGTTATTTTTATTTCATTAAAAAAGGGCCAAAAGAGACCTCCGAAATATAGGCTACCAGAAAGGGAAAAAAAAAACCTTAAGGTTTTTGCTCACACTGTAAAAAAAATTCCGTAAAATTTACGGTAAAAAAACCAAAAAGAAAGAACAAAAACCTTAACGTTTTTGCTCAGAATTCGTTTTTAATCCCTGCATGATTTTAGTCATGTATGATAAATATCAAATAGCCTACGTTATAGCTTGACTACAAGTTTAAAAACAACGCTACAATTGTTATAATCAAGGAAATTAAACTTACCATCATGAAATGTGTCTACACTCATGATAATACCAAAAAGAAAGAGAAACATTGGAAATAGGCATATTTTATTCAAGACGTTATTATATGACATCAACATGCATTTATCATTCTTACAATCACCACCAGAATGTCCAACTTCACCATAATGACCTTAAAATTGGGTTTTATTATTTTTCCTCAACAGTTCTCCTCACAAAACGAAATTAATTTCAAACACAAATTTGATAAGAACAGAGTGGAAATTATTAGCAACACCAACATAACAGCAAAGCTAATATTTTCTGTTAGTTTAAGCACAAAGAAAAGTAAAACCAAACTTTAATGTGGCAATAATTAAGACCAAACTGAACCGGGTGGGGCTTGGGTAGATGATATTATCGGATATCGCGATATTTTTTAAGGCGATTATCAATAAGATATTTTTGACATATCGCCCAGCCCTAGTGTGAACTAAGCTCTGAGAGGAAACTGAGGTCAGTATGCAAGAACTGACAAAAGATCAATAAATGTACTACTTGGCTTTGTGTGGTTGTGTGGTCTTTACTGTAAGTAGGTATGGGCCTGACTGAATTGAAGACTCCACTATCGACAGATTTATACACAGATTTCGAACTGTACCCCATTGCAATATTCCCTTTATACTGTTCATGTTTAAATCCAAACCAGTAACATACAAACATATTTAACATATTTCCAGAGTATAGACTTTGCAAAGAGAAAGAGCTGTAACGGTAAAATGGCCAAACAAATAGTACAGATCTCCGTTACGGTGACCGTAGGTCTTTATGAGCATATCCTCATTATTTCCATCTCCTTTCCATCTCCTCAGCGTTTTCTATTTATGTGTTACAATGTTCCATGTAATTTTTATATGCATATTCACCCACTTTTACTTCTAATAAGAAAACACTGCCAGGTTTCATAATATATATATGATAGTTTATGTTTATACAAACCACTAGTCTGTCCCAAATAATCCAAAATGTTTTGTTGGCCTTATATAATGAGCTGATATTTCATCTACTGTCATACTCCCGTACTATATCCACTGCACTGCACTCCAACAGAGGAACAGAGAAGTGGAGGCACAGAGAGAAAGAAAGCGTGGAGGGTCTGTTCAAAAAGCCGCCCCCGTGGCATATCTACAAACAGAGAGTGTTAACTTGCTTCAAAGGAAAAGACAGCTCAACACACCCAACTGTTATAGTGCTCAAAGGTCTGTGGGCTGAAGTCAGCAGAGAAAGAGAGGGCGCGAGAGACTGGTAATTAGGTTTTGGTGACTCATGTAAGGTAAGGTTGTTAGACCAACTTGTAACTGGAAACTTGACTCATTAAACTAAAAAGCATGAGATGAATTCAAATAACACAAACTAAGTGCAGAAAGAACACAATGGTACTTATATTTTTAGCTCTGAGTCACAAAAACTCAGACAGGGTCGGCTACCTGGTGATACTCCAGAGAGACAGAGAGAGATACAAGAATTCTGCAACTGTTTTCTTACATTGTTCAGGGCACATATACATTAGGGCTACACAATTTGGCCAAAAACTTGTATTGTGATTATTTTGTCATACTACATACTGCAATTGACTTGAACTGCAAATGTAAACATTTAATCTCAATATGAAATCATCTCATATTGCTGCTGTTAAAACATCCATGCAAAAGAACAAAGAGACCACTCATTGATGCCAATAGAAAGAGATACTTTAAGCGCGTGGATATACTCTTTACAAGAACCTTCTCAGACCTTTTCGGTGTCCAAACTGAGCAGAGTGGAAAAAATGTCTTTGCGTTTGCCATTTTCTCTTCGCCACAACTACACTCACACTGTTGTTTTTAGCAACCCAATCAATTTAAACATAATACTATAAAATAATATTTTTAATTATTATTAATTCTATTAACTGTAGTCATTAAAATGATTGTTTTAAAATGATGATATTTTTTAATAATTCAACAGCCAGTTGTCAATTATTTCTTAAATATTTACGTCTTTAAGCAGTAA